TGTGTGTGTGTGTGTGTGTGTGTGTGTGTGTGTGTGTGTGTGTGTGTGTGTGTGTGTGTGTGTGTGTTGCCATATCCGCTATACACAACTCCTCAAAGAAAACCATGACTGTGCCAGACTGTTTCGTCAGACTTTCACGGACTCATCGGGAGGTTGAACCTCGATTGGTCTGCCCAGGATGCATTTGACTGATGGATAAGGACTCGCCACGTCGCCCAGAGTTAGTGATATCCCTGAGAAAAGTGGCCGGCTTTACTCACACCAGCCCTGTGTGCGTCTGTGTGTGTGTATGGATGAATACTCGGTGGGAATGCTGCAAAGCAGCTTAAGGCCAGATGGGCTGGGACCGTACATGCAGGCAGCTCAGGGAGGCCGGAGAGTGATGCGGACAAGGAGGGGACGAGCTGCTCGGAATGCCAGCTACACTGATGTCTTTCGCGGCACACAAAGGAGGGCAGGGGGGCAGAATGGCACTTCTCTCACTACTCCTCAGCCGGTTGGTGGGATCGATGCAGGATTTGCGAAAACAATGCTTCAGAGTTCTGGGCCATCATCTTCAAGCGGTGGCGGTCACACTTCTGGAACGTCGACTTCGAACCGGACCGGACGCCAAGTCGCACGAAATGGAATGCTAAGCACGCGGTTTGGCAGCCTGGAGAGCTACTGGCATCGAACCCTGGGTGGGCACCAAGGACAACGGACTGGAGCGGCTGAGGAGGAGTGTGAGCCAGAGCAAACCGAGCGCAGCAACCTTGTTTGATGCGGCTTATCATCTGCTCAATGAAGACGAGGCTGTCAACAGCTAGCAAGGACAAAAACAACTGGTACATGTGAAGCAGGCAAGATCTGCCGAGGGATTACCTGTTCGTACCAATTCCGATATCTGCAGCTGGTGTAAGAAAACGTATGGCGATTCTTTCTGCGAGTGTGAAGGCAATGTTCCAATTCAACAAGCGCCGATGTGTATGCTGTGTGCGGAGCTGAGTTCTTCACGAGTCCCAACATTTACTGAGGTATGCACGCACTAGCTGCTGTGGTATGATGCTCCTTTTGTTTCCTTTCTCTAAGCATGGTAGAATCGGGCGAAAAGACCCAAATCAAGGTGGTGCTGTAGATCATGATTGCCTCTCCATGGCCAGTATCGATCACCGACACGCCGGAGGCGAGGCGGCTACGTCTTCCTCTCGTTCGAGAGCATTCATCAACCAGGAAAAATACACCTTTTTCTTGAAAGCAAACCGCCATGGCTGTTAGCTGCTTGTTATTGTACGAGGGACTGGATGGAGGTGCCAACTGGTCTTAGCCAAGGAATGAAGGACAAAGTGTGTGGAAGGATCCCCAAGTGTCTTTGTGTTGCAGTAGTAATGGCGGAGACGGGTAGCTTGGTCCGTAAGCAGGTTGAGTGATGTACCGAGGAAAGATGTAGCAGCCCAAGACTCCAAGGTCCAGAACCCTGAGCTCTGATGCCGAAGTCTCTTTTTGGATGCGGACGGAGTCGCCAATGGAGGTTCACCATATTATCTGGTACGAAAGTGGGAGGTTCGTAGATGACGTGCTAGTCTAAGAAGTATAGTCAGCGGTTATCTGATGGCTGCATGATACTATACAACCATCGTGTTGCAGACCAAAGGAACAAGTCTGTGTATTTGGTTCAGAGCTCCTGGTCCAACAGCCATGACTCGATTCATTCGGCGATTCGTCGTCAGACTGCGGGAGATCCAAGTCATGCGTCTTGTCCTGGGCATCAACAGCTGACGAGCTTTGGGCAGATCTAACCACTGAGATTGTGGAGGTAAGCGAGAACAGAAGACCGACCCCAATTCCAACTACTTAAACTTGTGTGTTTTGAAATTTCACCACAACAGCGCCTCATCCACCCAGATAAGTAGAACCAAAATCTCAGCAGCTTTAGTCCTATTGCAGACAACGAAGCACGGGTGAGTTGAGTCATTCCAACAGTTAAACTCGTGTGTGTGTGTGTGTGTGTCATCATGTGCGCTATACACGCATCTTTTCGCAAGAGAAACATGGCTCTCTGTGAGGGTTTGTGGGGGTGGGAGGGGTGGATGGGTGAGGGTGCGGGGATGTGGAGGTGCACGTGGGTATGAGAGTATGGGTAGGTGTGGGTGTGGGGGAGGGGGGGCGCGGGAGGAGGCATACAACTTAGGTAATGATTCAAGTGCCCCAAAACAGAACAGAAACTTATCAGACAAACCACTTCTCAATGTGCTTCCGTGTGGTGAGGCGCGGGGGGAGGCGTACAACTTAGGTAATGATTTAAGCGGCCCAAAACAGAACAAAAAACTTATCACACAAACCACTACTCAATGTGCTTCTGTGTGGTGAGGCGCAAAAAACAAAAAATAATAAAACAAAAGGCAAACGAACTTCAACGAAGTTAACTTACTCACCATAACAGTTTTGGTGTCAAAAAAAGAAGGAAAACAAAAACCAACGCTGCGCTTAGGAGCGGTCAGATGCAAAAGAGCAGAAAAATAAAAAAGTACATATGAATTGACTGTAACCTCAGCTGAACACCGGGCCACCCTGCGGACTGGGACTGGCAGCTCCCCGTGGGCCCAAACAGGACCATCTTCAGGGTATGGCTTCTGCTCTTATAATGTGTTGTAGAAATGTCAAAAAAATGAAAGTCGATGTAATTGTGAGGATTGAGCCCTCAAGAAGGGGCCTTGCCATGATGTACATGTTCTGGGCTAAGGCCCCAGCAAGCCTAGTGCCCGCCCTAAGTGAAGGCGGGCCAGCAAATCAACAAGAGCCCTCTGTGCAAACATTTCCCGAAGTGGGGTCCATACAGTTGCAGCACGCCAGTTGGTTGGAGTGCACCGAGTCTYGAAYCTCAGCAAATGCTGAAAACCCAGGGCCTCTGAGTTAGTTAGGCCCTGGGCACTTGAACGTGAGGCCGACAATGCATGCTGGGTATAGAGGCCGAAAATGCCAAAGGGAAATAGGCCCACTATCTGAATCTGGCCGCAGGTCTTGACGAAAGAGGTGCAACTGCATCCCCCGGGCCTAAACTGTATCGGGCCTGGGTTCAGCGACTGGGGCCCAGACACAGGCTGAAGGGAGGCCACCCACACGCAACACTGGCATATAGGCAAGCAGGCGAGTGGGGAGCATTCTTGGCCAATGCAGGCATTGTGGGCACGCTGCGCGAATGCGAGGTGCTGCGCTGTGCAGAGCTGCGCTGCGCTGGGATGAGGCAGGCGCTAGGCGGTAGGGCGCTGCCTGTGCACAGTGCGCTGCCGGCCATAGCCGGGCTGCATGGGGCGCAGGGAGGTGAGGGCGAAGGTGGTTCTTCGGAGGTGAAGGGCGCTGTGTGGGTAACAAGGGAGAGTGTGGTTGAAGAGGACACGTACCTGGTGGAGGTGGAGGTCGGCATTGGTGTTGACATCATCACTCGCTGGTAGTCAAGTTGTCTGGTTGCTTTCATTGCTGTAGTTGTAGGCTTAGTCTGTAGAGTAGATAGGGCGCCTGGCGCCATTCATAAGAGAGAGGTACATTGGGTTATGCTGTTGGTGTTGCCCTGTTGGGCATGGACATTGACTCACGATTCTTCTGTATCATTCTCAATTGGATGGTTACTCGGTTCCATTGTACTATCTGCTCTGGCTCTGACTACTTGGACTTCAGTGTGATTTTGCATTCTGGATTTCTGTGCTTCGTCCATATTCATCTTCCTTGCATAATCAAGTGATTTAGAATTATACAAGGAATTGGGTCTACTAGGCAAGCATTCCCAGGTCAACAGAAGAATACAGCGACTCGAAGCCAGTGAAAAGGGGGAAAATTTTCAAAAAAAGAAAAAAACCTAGGCTACCAGCCGGGCCTCCCGGGTCACCCTATTTTCCCGGACGGCCCGGCCGTGCAAGGACCAGGGAGGCCCTAGCAAAAAAAAAAAAAAAAAAAAAAAATCAGAAAAATCCGAAAAAAAACTATGTTATGCAGAAAAGTAAACTGAACAACTTTTGCCTCAGGGTCACATCGAAATTCTTTACCAATTTAAAAATAAAAAATAAAGTTAAAAAATCATTTTTATTTTTTTATTTTTTTATTATTTTTTGGCCCGGCCGGGCAAGTGGCCCCGGGCCACTCTGGTAGCCTAGAAAAAAACGCTTAAAAAACCGGAAAGGTCTTCAAAACTCTTCAATCAATTGACACTGGCTGATGAATTCGCTGAGGCTCTCAATTTCCAAATACCATTTACTAAGATTTGAGATTTTGTTTTTTTTTTCAGCAAACGAAATTGCGGTATACTTTTTGGGTTCATTTTATGGGTCTCAAAAAAAACATTGTCCGCTGAACGGCCTTTGCTTTCTTTTTCTCTCTGTATGCCACCGTCTCTCCCGCTTTCACTCTCTTTTCTCTCACTCTTGACTTTCTCTCTCTCTATCCCATGCTCTCTCCCTCTGGGTAGGGAGAGATGGGGAATGATTCCAACAGATGGCATCCCCCTGCAATTTTTTGTAAAATCTCAAACTTTACTAACTGACAATTTCACAAAATGAGCATTTGAATTTTGAATGCCCAAAGCCGTAACAACGTTCCTGGAGTACTTGCCCATCCAAGCGTAAGGGATTTTTTTCCCTCTCTCTCTCTCTCTCTCTCTCTCTCTCTCTCTCTCTCTCTCTCTCTCTCTCTCTCTCTCTCTCTCTCTCTCTCTCTCT